AGCAAAAAAGGAGGGGGAGGCTAGCCGGGTCCTTCCAGGCCGGTGGGAGGGAGGGAGGAGGCAGGAGGCCAGCCTTCCTACTTACCAGCAGCTCAGCGCTCGGCCGGCGGCCGTCAACCAGAGGGAGCCAGAGAGGAGGACGTGGGACGGCTCACGGCTGCTGCATGAGTGCGGCTCGCCGGGCCCTCCCCGTATTTAAAGGATGCCCGGCGTGAGTCACCACCAGGGGCAGTGTCGGCGCGGTGGCGGGGAGGGGCACGCGCGCCACTGCAGCGCCCCGACGTGCGAGGACAGAGGTGCGGTGTCACCCAAGGAGGCAAGCCTGTGCGCTCAGCGGAAGGGGTTTCCTTCTGCCAGTGTTTTGGATTTTTTTTTTCTTTTTTAAGAACACATTTTCCTCTTATCTCTTTTCCTCCAGTGTTTCTTTTGGACTCTCTCTGCTGCATTGGCCACTGCGGTTCTAGAAAAGACATCCGTTCTTTTCCTTTTAAACTTTCTATTCGGAAGTAATTTCAAATTTACAGAACATTTGCAGGAACAATACAAGGAACCCTCTTATTTGCTTAACCCGATTCACCTGTTGTTAAGGTTTTGGAAAAATTCCGAGGAAAGATAAAGTTACCCCCAGTGTCCCTCCTAAAAACAATGTTTCTTTTCTTTTCTTTCTTTCTTTTTTTTAATTTTTTGGCCGTTCCACGGGGCATGTGGGATCTTAGTTCCACCACCAGGGATCAAACCTGTGCCCCCTCCAGAGGAAGCCTGGAGTCTTAACCACTGGACTGCCAGGGAAGTCCGTAAAAACAATGTTTCGGGCTTCCCCGGTCGCCCAGTGCTTGGGAGTCCGCCTGCCGATGCAGGGGACACGGGTTCGTGCCCCGGTCCGGGAGGATCCCACATCCCGCGGAGCGGCTGGGCCTGTGAGCCATGGCTGCTGAGCCTGCACATCCGGAGTCTGTGCTCCGCAGCGGGAGAGGCCACAACAGTGAGAGGCCTGCGTACCACACACACAAAAAAACAATGTTTCGATTGCCTTCTGACATCATCCTCTGTCCCCTCACTGCCCCCTCCCAGAAGTGGTGACACATGGCAGTGAAGGGATATATCTGAATGAGGAGCTCCCTATGCCCTGCACCTCTGCATTGGAGCTGTCGTCCTGCTGCCCCAGTGGGAAATAAGAAACCATTTCTACTCATGGTATCACCAAGAGGGCCTGGGAAGGAGAGAAAGAAGTCATAGTTGGAGGGGAAGGGAGGCTGTTAAACCCCAACTTCTCCAAGGTGGAGCCTCAACAAGGTACGAGCCACACTGGATTAAGCCACCTGCCCTCCCCCGGCTCAGTTTACCCTCTCAGCCAAGTGGGGAGAGTAATATTTACACACAGTGCCTCATGGCATGCTGAAAGCCTTAATTAACGTTTGCACTGTGCTTTGAGAGCTGTGATGAAAGGAAAACATAAAAGTGCGTAGTGTTATTACTGAAACAGTCATTTGGGGAGCTTGCCACGGTCAAGCCCTTCAGCCTGAATCATGCCACATTCCTCCTCACCGTGGCCCCATGATTCAGAGGCAGAAACAAAAAGTGCCCTGTCCATTAAGATATGCTGGCCCAAAAGGGGCAGGGTACTTGGAGGGGGTCTCCACACAGCACCCAGCCCATCTCTTCAGCCACCAGCCTTCCTTCCAAATAATAGTCCACGTGGAAAACTCCCTCCCTCTTACTCCCCTGGAGCCTCCATATCCCCACATTCGGGTCTTCAACTGCCTTTCCACAGAACCTGCAAGGATAAGAATATTCCCTCTTTACCTTCTTTCCTTCCTTCCCAATCCTGACATTCAGCCGCCCTGTGCTAGGCCTTAAGCTGGGAGCTCCAGACAACACAGGGATGAGTCAGATACGTTTCCTGCCCATAAAGAGCTGACACTCAGCGGGCAGGAAGAAAGAAAGGCTGTTCAGGAAGCACCTACTGTGAGCCAGAAAGCCCAGAGCACCTTATTACTTTAATTCATCTACACCGGCTTTCTCAGCCTCACCACTATTGACATTTGGGGCCAGAGGATTTTTTGTCGTAGGGAGCTGTCCTATATATCATAGGCTACTTAGAGCATCCCTGGCCTCTACCCACTAGATGCCAGTAGCATCCCTCCCAAGTTGTGACAACCAAAAATGTCTCTACACAGGGCCAAATGTCCCCTGGGGAGTCAGCACACATGCACACACACCACACACACACACACAACTGAGAACCACTGATTACCAAATAATCCTGCAAGTGGGAGTAATTGCCCCCACTTCACAAATAGGAAAACTGAGGCCCTGGGCAGTTAACTAATTTCCCCAAGATCACACACTACGTGGCAGAACTAGGATTCAAATCCTAGACTGTGGATTGTATGCTATTTCCACCACATTGTGTGCTTGGACACACATAATACTGTAGATAGAAGTGCGGTTGTGCTGGGATTGGTGGAGACGAAGGGTTAGGCAGGGACGAGGGGAGTGAAGTCACTGACAGAAGCTTCCTTGAGGTAAGGTTGATACCTGTGGGTGCATTTGAAGGGATAGGGCTTGAGTTTCACGTAAAAGGTGTCTTGAAAATGTGAGCAGGGGGAATTCCCTGGTGGTCCAGTGGTTAGGACTCGGCACTTTCACTGCCGTGGCCCAGGTTCAGTTCCTGGTTGGGGAACTGAGATCCTGCAAGCCAGGTGGCGCAGCCAAAATAAAGAAGGAAATAATTTTTTTTAATTAAAAAAAAAAAAAAAAAAAAGATGAACAGGATCTGGAAATGAGGGGGGAGTTAAGGAAAATCACGGAGTCAGAGCAAGAAGGCGAGAGAGCTCACAACCAAACACTGTGTGTGGCTAGAGCCCAGGGTGTGGGACAGACCCAGCTGGGAGGGCTGGGATGCCTCCCTGAGGAGTGGGATGTCTCTCTGCAGGCAGGAGGGAGCCACCGCAGGTTTTGGAGGAGGCGAGGGGCACAGTCAGAGCCACGCTGCAGGAGGTACAGTACCACAGGGTTTCCAGGTTTCATGGAGGACCCTTGGGTGCTTGCAGTTTTCAAAGCACTTCTCTCATTTTCTTTGGTCCTCATGAAAAGAAACGGGTTTCAATACAGTAACCAGGCCGTGCAGGAAGGTCCATTCCCCAGATTAAGAGTGTAAAGATTTATTGTATAGCACAGGGAACTAAATTCAACATCTTGTACTAACCGATAATGGAAAAGAATTGAAAAAAAGAGAATATAGATATATACATATATATGTGTATAACCGAATCACTTTGCTCTATACAATTGAAAGTAATGCAACATTGTAAGTCAACTATACTTCTATTAAAAAAATAAAAAAATAAGAGTGTCTGTCGGGATCCAGCTATAGGACCTCAGAGCTTCCGCTCACTGAGCCCCTCTTTCATGGAGAAGCATACTCTCCGCTACAGAGAAAGCAAAATGACCCCACTCAGTCCCCAGAAGTGAAATCTATTATTGGTGAAAGTAAAGGGCTGATTCACTACCCACAGGTCCTGTAAAGCTCAGGGTTCACTTTCCAGCCCCTCTGGGAGTACCAGAAGGACCAGGTTGCCTCGGGGTTCAGAGAACTCAGCACTCCCACCCACGCATGTTTCTCTAGTTTGGTGAATAAGCACAGAATCCAGGGAACTGCAAACCATACCAGCCAGCCTCCCCACTGGGGAGGAAGCCCCTCCACCTCACCCTCAAGAGGTGAAGTTATGACCCACTTGGTCTACTTGCAGGATGGGGCTGTCAGTACTGCACCATGAGGTCCTCTGGTAGATTGACAGAATAAAAAAGATGGAGACACCCAGGCTTGGCAAGGATGCTGGTGGTCTCACACACTGTTAATGGGAATATAAATTGGTGGAGCAGCAGATATCAAAATTCAAAACATGTAAACCAGCATCAGTGCCACATTCACTGACAGGATCATGTGGGCATGAAGCTATATGTTCAAGCATCGTTGGCAGTAACAGATCTTTGTAAACAATGCAGATGTCCGTCCATAAGACAATGATTCCCTGCACCACGAAAACCCATACCAAGTAGCTAATTTAAAAGAGGGGGTTCACCTTTATTCGCTGAGAAAGAAAAATGTATATGATGTTTTAAGCAGGCTAATATATATATAATATGATTGCACTTATTGGTTTTAAGAAAGCACTCTTTCTATTTGTTGATCATGATCACGCAAAAAGCCAGATGGTACAAAACTTCAGTTTTCCCATCGCATGGCCCTTTCAGTGCCCATGGAGTCAGCCTGAGATGGGCACCCAGGGCTCTTGTCTCTGCCTGTCCCCCAACTTCTCACCTTCCCCAGGTGGCCCTGTTCTGCCCTCACCTGCTGCTCCCCTCTCAGTGGCCCAGCTGTCTTGGAGGCAGAGAAGGCCACACCCCTGAGCTCCAGATGCATGGCTGTGGTTCCCAGCTCATTCCCATAGCCCCAGCTGTTCTCTGAAGGAGGAATTTTAGGTGGTTCCTCAGAGCAGTGAATCTCAAAGACACACAGGCATCCCTTGTGCTCACGTAGACAGACTCTCATAACAGGACTGGGATGTGGCCACCACCTAAGTCTCTGTCCACTTACTCCGTTTTATAAAAAACCTTTCCCAACACAGATAAGGAGGAACAAGAGAGAAGAGTGCAGGTGAGAGAAAATTTCAAACAGCTATATATCTGTGTGTGTGTGTGTTTACATGTACACACAAGTGTATCTTTGTCTATATCTATTATATAAATGCACAGAAAAAGATCTAGAAGGATACACACAAAACTGCTCCAGTAGTGGGGGTAGGGAGTAGTGATGAATGAGGATAGTTTAGAACTATCTGTTGCTTTATGTTGCATTAAAAAAAAAAAAAAAAAAAAAAAAAAAATAATTTATTTCCAAAACAGAAAGACTCACAAACACAGAAAACAAACTTATGGTTACCAAAGAGGAAAGAAAAAAAAAAAAAAAAAAAGACAAAAATGAATTTATTTCCAAAACAGAAAGACTCACAAACACAGAAAACAAACTTATGGTTACCAAAGAGGAAAGGGGGGGTTGGGGGAGGAATAAATTAAGAGGCTGGGATTAACATATACACACTACTACGTATAAAATAGAAAACCAACAAGGACCTACTGTACAGCACAGTGAACTATTCTCAGTATTTTGTAATAACCTGTAAGGGAAAAGAATCTGAAAAAGAATAGATATATAACTGAATCACTGTGCTGTACACCTGAAACTTACACAATATTGTAAATCCAACTATAATTTTAAAAATTTTTAAAAAAATAAATAAATAAATAAACATACATTCCTGAATTTCATCTAATTGATCATTAGGACAACTATTTTAAGACAAAAAACAAAATTCTAGTTTTTTTAAATGTTTCTTTATATTACATTGAATCCTGGCTCCCTGGACCCTCTACAGATGGTTCTCTTCCCCATTTCAGGCCCCATCGTCCCTGCCCTCGCCCACAGGCCAGCCCCTCAGACATTTGGGATCCATGAACAGGCTCACCTCATTCCAAGCCCCTTCCTCTCCTGCACCTTTGGACACCTCATATAGTTCCTTCCCTCCACCATCCTGGTTGCTCAGCTTGGAGCCCCAGCTCAGCAAACCAAGCGTTCATTAAAGGTCAGGCCCAGCCAAGGGCCCGTATACAGAAGTGAATTTGTCTGAAGGGGACTCAAACACATGAACAGTCATATTCAAGTGCAAGGCATGTATGAGATGGGGCCACACAAGGGAGCCGCCCAGCCTGCCTGAGCCATGGGAGAAAGGCTCCCCCAAGGAGGTGACCCTTGGTCTAAGCCTGGTAGGATGAGCAGGCATTTGGGCACACTGGGAAGAACAAATAGCATTTGCAAAAGCTAAAAGGCACCAAGGACCATGGTACATGGAGCATGTGTCAAATAGTTCCAGATAACCAGAGGGCAGGGTGTGTGTGAGGGCTCTGCAGGAACACCATCCAGGGGGAATGCAGGAGGTACTGTATGAAGGGACCCACCAACTGGACTCATTCTGTAGGTAATGGAGGGCCATGGAAGGGTTCAGCCAAGGAGAGATGTGGTCAGGTTGGTGTAGGGCAGTGGTTTTCAACCAAGGGTGATTTTGCCACCCTCTCAGGGGACATTTGGTAATGACTGAAGACATTTTTGGTTGTCACAACTTGGAGAATGCAAGTAGCGTTAAGTGAGTACAGGCCAGAGATGTTGCTACATAGCTTCCAGTGCCCAGGACAGCCCTCCACAACAAAGAGTAATCTGGGCTGAGATGTCAAGAGTGCTGAAGTTGAGGAACACTGGTGTAGATGATGGATGGCTCTGGCAGCAGTACGGAAGATGGATTGCTTGGGAGGAGGGGGTGAGGGTACGGAGACCTAATAAAAAAAGTATAGCAATAGCTCAGATGGGAGATGTTGAAAGCCTGAGCTAAGACCAGACAGTGAGGACTGAAAGAGGAGACTGCATCAAAAGTTATGTAAGGAGTAAAACTGGTAAAACATGGTGATGGATTGATTACATTGGTAAGTGGGGTAACACAATGGGGCCGTCACTATATGGGTTAGGTCACAACAAAGTGAGCCCCAAAAAGCAAGAGCTTAAATAAGATGAAGGTTTATTTTCCATCTAGAGCTGGAAGGGTGGTATATCAGGGACTGAGATCCCATCTATCTAATTGCTCTGCCATCTCAATCCATGGTTACCATCTCATGGCTAAAATAGCTGCTCCATCTCCTGCCTTCACATTCATATTCCAGCCAAAGGAAAGGAGGAAGGGCTCAGTCCTTCTTTTTCAAGGCATGACCTAGGAGCTATACATATCATTTCTGTTCACTTTCTATCGGTCAGAACTTAGTCATATGGCTGCCCCTTCCTGCAAGGGAAATGTAGTCTTGAGCTGAACGCCATGTACAAAAGTAAAACACTTATAACTATGAAAGTAGGTGTGCACAGTTACTGGGGGGGCTCTTAGCAGTCCACGCCACAGGTGATGAAAGAGAAAAAACTCATGAAGGAAAGCAACCAGGTTTTCAGCATGGTGCGTACCATTAAGAGGGGGAGAAGAGACAGGGGAGGGCGTTGGGAGCATGATAGCAGACTCACCTGGACAGGCTGCATTTGAGCCCCATGGGACCATAATGTAGACTGTCCAGCGGAGTCTGAAATCAGGGTCTGAGCTCAGGAAAGGGTCTGGATGCTGATGGAGGTCTAAGGAGCCATAGATGAGGACATTGTCCAGAAATGGTGTCAATCTGGAGTCCAAGAACCTCACTGATTAAAGCAGGCTCTACACCTAAAGGATGAGAGGGAGAGGCAGCGGGCGACTCCGTGAGATAGCATGTCAGTGCATGTGCTGTGCATGGGCGATTTTCTAGAGAAAAAAAAAAAAAAATCTCATGACTTTCGTCAGATTCTCAAGGGGTCTGGGTGCAGAGTGAGCTAAGAAGAGGGTTCAGAAAGGCAGCCTGGGGCTTCCCAATATTACTGAGGCAGACAAAGGCAGAGTAGCCAACTGCAGGGACCAAAAAGCGCAGTGAGGGAGGTGGTAGGAGCAGTATGATGCAGCGTTTGAGGGGTGGGGCAGAGTACGACGATGTGGCAGCTGACGGAGGAGCACGTGGGCGTGGCAGTGCTGTGCGGAGCCCGTGGGTGTGGCGGTGGTGCGGAGTCCGTGGGCGTGGCGGTGGTGGGGAGCCTGTGGGCGTGGCGGTGCTGTGGGGGCAGTAGAATGAGCAGGCGAAGGTGGCAGGGTCCCGGAGCACGGGATGGGAGAGAAGGCTCATCCTGGAGGGGACACTGGGCTTTTGGGGTAACAAGATTCAACATGTCAGAGGTTGAGTGGAAATGTCCAGCAGAGAGGGAGGAATTGTGAAGAAATAGAGCGAATGATATTTTCTTGAAACAGGTTCCTGACACCAAATTCAGGTGTGGTCCCAGCACCAGGAGCAGAAGTGCCTGCTGTCACAGAAAGGGCTTAGGCTTCTGGGGCGCTTGCCACCTTTACCTGTCTCTGGATGGGTCCTTGGTGAGTTCGTCACCTCTCCAAGCCTCCCTGTCCCCGTGTGTGAACTCAGTAACAACCTGCCTGACGTGACTGATTAAAGGATGAGAAGAAAAATCATGTGTGAAAGGCCCAGCTCAGTCCTGATCACAGTTGATGCTCAGTAGGTGGGCGGGCCCTTCTCTCTTCCCCACCCTTCTCTTCTTATAGGATGGCTGCTGTTTTGTGTGTGTGTGTGTGTGTTTTTTTTTCCTCAAGTCCATTCTCTAGTAAGTCTGTGTCTTTATTCCTGTTTCACCCCTAGGTTCTTCATGACATTTTTTTCCCTTAAATTCCATATATATGTGTTAGCATATGGTATTTGTCTCTATCCTTCTGACTTACTTCACTCTGTATGACAGACTCTGGGCTTATCCACCTCATTACAAATAGCTCAATTTTGTTTCTTTTTATGGCTGAGTAATATTCCATTGCATATCTGTGCCACATCTTCTTTATCCATTCATCCGATGATGGACACTTAGGTTGTTTCCATCTCTGGGCTATTGTAAATAGAGCTGCAATGAACATTTTGGTACATGATTCTTTTTGAATTATGGTTTTCTCAGGGTATATGCCTAGTAGTGGGATTGCTGGGTCATATGGTAGTTCAATTTGTAGTTTTTAAGGAACCTCCATACTGTTCTCCACAGTGGCTGTATCAATTTACATTCCCACCAACAGTGTAAGAGGGTTCCCTTTTCTCCACACCCTCTCCAGCATTTATTGTTTCTAGATTTTTTGATGATGGCCATTCTGACTGGTGTGAGATGATATCTCATTGTAGTTTTGATTTGCATTTCTCTAATGATTAATGATGTTGAGCATTCTTTCATGTGTTTGTTGGCAGTCTGTATATCTTCTTTGGAGAAATGTCTATTTAGGTCTTCTGCCCATTTTTGGATTGGGTTGTTTATTTTTTTGTTATTGAGCTGCATGAGCTGCCTGTAAATTTTAGAGATTAATCCTTTGTCAGTTGATTCATTTGCAAATATTTTCTCCCATTCTGAGGGCTGTCTTTTGGTCTTGTTTATGGTTTCCTTTGCTGTGCAAAAGCTTTGAAGTTTCATTAGGTCCCATTTGTTTATTTTTGTTTTTATCTCCATTACTCTAGGAGATGGGTCAAGAAGGATCTTGCTGTGATTTATGTCATAGAGTGTTCTGCCTATGTTTTCCTCTAAGAGTTTGATAGTTTCTGGCCTTACATTTAGGTCTTTAATCCATTTTGAGCTTATTTTTGTGTATGGTGTTAGGGAGTGATCTAATCTCATACTTTTACATGTACCTGTCCAGTTTTCCCAGCACCACTTATTGAAGAGGCTGTCCTTTCTCCACTGTACGTTCCTGCCACCTTTATCAAAGATAAGGTGTCCATATGTGCGTGGGTTTATCTCTGGGCTTTCTATCCTATTC